AGATGATAGATAGATGAAAGACAAATCATATATGAAAAGCTTAGGGGTAGGAAGTAACTATATAAGAACTTTCGACGCAAACCAAAAGTCACGTTATTTCAATTAAAAAATTTCCCCTGAAAGGATAGATGACCGACACTACTCGATTGCTAACGTAAAAGTATGATGTACTGTACATGGATAAGACACTTCTTATTTGGGGTAGAGAGCATATATTTTAAATTAAAAAATTATTTAAAATATGCTTACAAATTGCAACCCGGCTTTGTGACGATGTCACAAAAAATAATTGCTCGTCATGCTTAAAATAATTTTTAACTCTTTACTTTGTTTTTCCTACAGTATCATACCTTGTACAACGTAATTGTGATTTTATACAGTTTATTAAATTACATTTTATAGAATTCCTTGGAACAAATTAAATATAATGAATATGAAAATAAAACATTATTAAACTTACATATTGCAATAATGTAAGAATTGAATCAAAATTTCAGGTTTTGTATGATATTCGCGTGAATTCTAAAATTAATAGAATAATTTAACTGTGATAAACAATAAAAAATTGAAAAAAAATTTTTTTTTAATTTCAACATTGTCGCATTGTATAACTACAATTACTACTACTGTATTTTAATATTGTTCTTATTCTAATTTTTATTCTTATATTTTTGCGTTATTATGAAAGAAACATAATCAAACAGTAACATGTCGATTCATTAAATTTCTTATAGGATATAAAAGAGAAGAGAATTAAGAATTTCAAAAAACATTAGTAGAAAAACACGAAAGACTATTTCTTTCTTCCTTTAGTCTATAAAGGATTTCATTCCTTTTCACGTTTCTTTCTATTGGGAAATAATGGTAGAACTCTTAAAACAAATTGTTGACTGAAAATCGATATAAATTCGTATAAACCTGTGTGCTGAAGTAACATTAAATTATAAGAGTTAAACAAAAGATTAACGTAAAGATTACTTTAAAACTTTTCAAGTTAATAAACGGGATTTAGTCAGTATTTCTGATAATATCAATTATTCTGCCAGATTATTTAGTTTTCCTATTTGTCTATTGAGTCTTCGTCAACTCACAATTTTATGAAACCCATTTATTTATTAAATATTTAAGAATAACTAATGATTTTCTTGTATTAAATATTATTAATCTTTCAATTAATGGAATAAAGATTAACTTGACAAAATTAAATAATATCATAATTAAATTTGTTCGCCCAATAAAATATTCGAAAAATTAACTAATTCTGAAAGAGAATTGCTTTTATTTAAGATATTTCATTATTTCATACAAATTGTTACTTACTAGCAATTTCTTTCAACTTTCAAATTTTTTCAAACTTAAAAATAGTTTATTTTTTCTACTTGATTAATAAACTTATGATCTTATTTCTTCAACTAAAGCGATTTTTTTATATTTTATGAAGTTATGAAGCACATTCTTCAGCTATGTCATTAATTTAGACAATAGTCAGATTCAACAAAAGAAAATTAAAGTCGAATCCTCATTTTTCAGATGTTAGATTGTGTTATTATCTAGAATTTCTTTCAAAACTTAAATCATTGTGACATGGAATTCGATATTCTTAATATAAGAAATTTAATCATAATGTGATGTGAATTTATAATTTCTTTACGTATCATTAATTATAAATTTGAATAGATGATGCAAGTCTTCCTGATATTCAATTTAAAATATCTTATATAATAAAGATAATAGTGACTGATAAACTATATTAATGATGCTTTTTATTGATAAAAGCTTGATCTTTAGATCCTGCATCAAACTGGAGCTACATCATTGTGGCAAGATTAATTTTAGCTTTTTAATATATAAATATGGAATATTTCAAAACACATATTAATGTTTTTCTTTTATAGCTATAATTAATTTAAAAGTAGGCCTATATTTTTATAATTTTATACGAAGTGAAGTGATATGATTCTCTTACCATCAATCAACAGAGAAAATTTTAATGAAAATTAATATTTTAGGATGAAACATACAGTAGGACCTCCAATAAAGGTCACCTCTAAATGGCGACCAGTTTTTCAGAAACGTTGAACAAAAATGTATACAAAATAACCTCTAAACTATTGATCACATTTAACAACGGCCATTTTTAGCGGCCGTTGTTCAGAGGTTTGTATTTATTGTAAATATTAAGCAAAGAAATTGATTATTCCTTAACCCCGCTCATCAATTTGCAATCATTTATTTATTTAAAGAATTCTATTTTGGTTTTACTGTATTATTAAATTGATTTTTGTTGCTCCATTTATTTTGATAATTAAATGTGTAAGATTAGATTAGTTTTTTATATCAATTCATGATTAGAAGAGAAGAAAGCGAAAAATCTATTCATTCGCGACACCTTTCGGATTTAGGCTGATTGTAACCTCTTTGGTTATGCAAGCGATCTCCAGCAAAGACGTTAAAATTTAATGCTTTTTCTACTGTAAAATCCAATTCCAAAAATTCTCGAAAAAGGTAGCAGATAGATCCAAACAGTTTCTTGCTTTAAAATACGATCTAATTCTTCTATTAAGGCACGGTTTTGAATTTTGGAAAATCAAATTCGTTAATTTTTGTACAAATTTTCTACGATTTTAAAAATGTGCACAAATTAATTCTTAATTTCCTTACATTTAAGCCTCGAGAATTAATTTATGTAAAAGAGATAATTTTTATAATTATCTAATTTTCATATAGTTATTTAATAATTTAAAATTCTTAAAGAACTGCATTTACTTTCGAAGAAACACAAAATTGGTGCAAATCAATTATATCTCATTAATCCAAGTAATATTAACTGCAATCCATATAATTGTCACACCTTTCTTTTAGTTCAGATACTAAAATTTTTGAAAAAAAAATCACAATCATTTCTTTATAATCACCTTTAAAATTACATAAGTTAGTCTTTGGTAGACTTTCATAAAATAATAATAATTTAGATTATTAGAAACTTTCTTTGGTAATTAAATATATTTCTTATAGAGTACAGTGGTGCCTCGTATAACGTACGCCTCGAATAACGGACGCTGCGAATAACGGACTTTCTGTTTGACCGTTACGTGACTCGAGCAACGGACTTGCTGCGAACAACGGACTTTCCGTTCGGCAGTTACGTGAGACTTTCTTCGAACAAGTACGAATGATGTTTCCACTCTTTTGCCGTTGCCGATGACAATCTGCTATTTTTAGGATATATTAGTATTATTAGAATGTATTATTAGTATATCTGAAGTAGAAATGTAATGTAATATATGTTAACGATTCAAATAAACGAAATGTAATTGTGTAGATGCCGAGGTGGCGGGACGAAAAGAGGTTGTAAAAAACAAACGGAGCGAGAGTAGCTCGTTGAAGTGTTTAGTGATCTTAATTAATAAAGAATTATTCGTATCATATAATCTGGCAAGTTAAGTCATTTATAATGCATCATGGCTTCTAAAAAAACAGAAAGGTGATTTCAATTGAAACAAAGCAAGAAATCATCAGGAGTGAAAGTT